AGGTTCAAATTTTGAAACGCTAATCACAAGTAGCGACTTTAAATGTTCATCGGATAAATTTGCCCTGTATTTCGACTTGATGTACTTCATCTGGGAAAAAGTTTGTTTACACAGATATGTCGTCCCAAAAATGTAGATAAATTTACAAGCCGGCGGTCGTAGAATGGACTAAAATTCCGGTAGCCTTATCAACATTCCTCGCTATCAGTTCTTGGAACAGTTAGAGGAAAACTGGGCATAAGTTGCCTTTAACACAAAAATGGTAATAAGTACGACACCGGCGGTGGTGATGATCTGTTAGTTACACTGCACCACTGCAAGGAGTCTTGTGCACAAGACGGCTAGTAACGAACTGCTCGCGCTACCTACATTGCCACGAAGTGACTGCCGATCGAGGACGAACAAGTACGAAGAAATACCGCGCAGTATACGGTCCAGAATTAGTAAAATTGTGAACAATATTAACACAATATGGAATATCAATATATTTATTAATTATATATAATTAATGAATTTGAAATCTATGAGCAAGTATTTTTTTTACCAGTACTCATTGGAAAATTAGTTCATATGGCGTATTTCTGCACAATTCTTTCGCGGGCCGTAGTTTGGAGACCCTTGATCTAGACAATCGGCTCAAAGATGGCGGTAAGGTTGCCAGCCTTACGCGTCGGCCGTGCTTTACTCCCAAGAAAAATTATTTAATTAATTCCTGGTACTCATTTCTGTTAGAGGCTGATTGAAACCCAGGGCCATAGTGCGGCTGGAAGGATTAGGTCAATTGAAGAAAATCCAATGACTTGAACCCGCGACCTTCAGGCTTGTAGCATAGCCCCTCAACCAACTATGCTACCGCGTGCCCCGACAAAGAAAATATAAGAAGCTTAAACTTGGCGGCGGTCAAGCTTAGACCGTTCAAGTGAATAATCTGCCACTGTGTCATAAGACAGGCATGATCTGCTTTGCAAAGCCTGGACTGACAGAGGACCTGTATCTATTGTAAAAGGAAGACTTTTCAATATTACTCTATATGCTATATGCTATGTGCCATATGCACACTTGACAAAGGCCTAGCGGTATGTTACGCACGGTCTACAACCGCAAGGATTCAGTTGCAAAAAAGAGAAAGACTGGTCGTGAGCCTCAAAAGGCTTGACAAGAAGGCGAACTGATTGGAGGTAAACGGTCAGTCGTAAAGTAAATCTGACTCTTTAAGTCAGTCAGTGGCACCATTCCCAGAGTCGTGAGAGAGTACAATATGGTCATGAGTCCTGTGAGACCCGGAACGAAGAATCACTCTGCTGGCGAAAGCCAGCAGTAATTTATATGACTGACGGTAGCAAGCCGGCAACGACGTGAGCACGAAAGCGGACGAATCTGCATTGTTTGGAGCCGTTACCAAGCAACGCCTTGTGAAGACATAGAACCCTTAATGTTTGTAGTAATGATATGCAGAGTGTGTAAATTAGTAACAGAGTTGTAATTATTTGTATTTAATAGTTATAAGTGTTCAATAACTCCAATAACCAATCGAAACCCCTCGTCTGGTCACTAACATGTGACAGTATATTTAATGCACCTGGTTATGGCCGTGTGAGGCCGAAACATGCTGTGAACAACTGAATGAATGTAACGTGACAGTAGAGGTCACACAACCGAACATTAACGAAAGCTCCAGAAAAAGACGGAATTTAAATAACAAAATTAATACAGTTTAAGTGTCTGTAAACAAAATTATTGGGAGACTATTTGTGTCCGTGAGGGATAGTGTGTAAGGAATTTTCGATATCATACAACAAGGAATTTACTGATTTATTACAGGTTACTTAGTGTTTAAGAATAACAATATCAAGTTCTAGAGGGGATAAAAACATTCATGCAGACTTTTGTGCTGGAACCATTTGAAAAGCAGCCACTAATAAGACCAAGATGATGGAAGGATAACATTAAGACGTAATTTTTGGGGTAGATTATGGGAGTGGAAGGTGAACATGTTGAACCAGTGAATTCTACTTGCACAAATTTAGTGGTTCATTAGTCTATAACGATGCTGCACTAACTGAATACCACAGAAGTGCGGTTTCTTCGTAGTGTATTTAGTGATGTTATGGCTGAAATTCGAACAGGGTTCCCCTCGAATAGAAGTCGGACGCGTTACCGTTGTGCCATATTATATAGTATATGGTCATACGACCAAATGATAAGGGCTAAGGCTGTCCCTCGCCCATGTCATGAAGACCTATAGGGGACGTGGATGTAAAGCTATAAAAATTAAAGAGCACTAACCAAATGAATGGTCAGCTTTGAACCGAGGGTACCTCTGGATGAGCTGCTTGGCTCATAGCCGTTCTGGACGCGCTGGCAAGAGAAAATTAAAACTTTTGGGGTATCTAACTCCATGGAGAAAAGTCCTGCTTGAGAAGCTGATGGTCGCTCAGCTACTCAAGAAATTTCCCGACCGTTATGGAACCCAAAGGTTCATTACTTTGATCCTACGTCATGCTGAGTGGGTCCCCGTCACCATGGCAAAACGTGTCGTGATGATGAGGATGGCCCACAGACAAGGACGGAAGTTGCAAATATATTTAATAAGCAGTCGTGGATAGCCATGAAGAGGAGAATACAACCGAGCGACGATGGCACATTAATACAAATGTTATGTTTCTGGACATTATCCACCGTCCTACTTTTATTTAAAACACCGCCGTTTTTATTTTAAAACGCAACGTTTCGGAGAGTGGATTCTGTCTCCGGAGATAGGAGGATAGGGACTAGCTGCATCGATTGGGCCCAACTAAGTAGATTTTACCTGAAGACGGAGACAGATTCCAGCCTCCGAAATGGGTTTTTAAATAAAAACAGGGCGATGGATGCTGTGCAAAAAATGTAACAAAAACAGGCGGTTCTCCAAAATGACGGTTGGGCTGGGAACTAAAACTAAAAGAAGGCCGAGCCATAGCTCAAGCGGTTAGCCGCTGGCTTCCCACCGCGGCGGCCCGGGTTCGATCCTGGGTCTAAGTGGGATTTGTGGTGGACAAAGTGGCGCTGGGGCAGGTTTTCTCCGAGTACTTCGGTTTCCCCTGCCAATCTTCATTCCACCAGTTGCTCCACAATCACCCTCACCTATCATCTGGTGCTGGTACAATAGGACAGAAGTTGCCGCAGTACAAGGGACTTAGTTCCACCCCACTAGCAACAAAAAAAAAAACTAAAAGAATGTTAAGAAATATTGCACAGAGTTTTAGAGTTTCCCAACATCACACTCTGTTTATGCAACTCCTGCTATAATAGCACTCTTCTACCGGGGTAGAAAGCAATAAACTTGAAGGAGACTCCTCGGAAATATATCACGTTGTTATCGACACACGCCGTTCTACTTCTTCTCGACAGAAAAAAGAATGTTACGCCGAGTGTAGTATGATAACCGTGCTTGTGAACTTACCAGTGTAGCTACACACGACAAGTTCTAATACTTACACCAAAGGCTGTCAAACTTTTGTGCTTGGACCACAAAGGAACTTGGAAAACGCACAGCATAATGAACAGTGTTCTTATAACAGGGCCTACATGCAGAGTGTAACTGAAAGTTGCAGATTAATTTTCGGCACGAGTTCCACATATCAAAACAAGGAAAAATGTCCATATCAACATATGTCCGGAAACATTTAATTTGTCAGTTATTATAAATGTACTCTTTCAGCTATAAGTGCTCAAAATTTCCTCCATGAGATTTAATGCACGTCTCGACAAGTTTAACAATGGACCGCCGCATCCGCTCAAAGAAGCCGGGACAGTTTCGGATAGTCTGACAGGCATCACAGAATATACTGCATGTACCACTGGCAGTCGGGGTTCGAATGTGGTACGTGCAGTATGGTGTTCCGGCACATTTCAGCCCTGCCGTGCGATATGTTCTCAACAACACCTACCATGAGCATGGCCTCCACACTCCACGCCAGATTTGAATCCTCTGGACTTTTACCTGTGACGACACCTAAAAACCCTTATGTATGCAGCTCCTGTTGACAACGAAGAGGCACTTCACCATCGCATTGTTAAATGCTTGCCAGACCATCTGCAACTGCCCCGGCATATTTGTACGGACGCGACGGAG